GCAATTTTCGGATTGGCATTCTTTGAAAAGCGCCCTAGCGCGAGTGTATGGCCCGCACTATGATGGGGAAAGAGTGCGGTTGGATATGTTCTCTATCCAACAGCGTGGGTCAATTGAATCGTACGTAACGGAGTTTTCTCGGCTAAGTTTACAGGTGCCGGAACTTGACGAACTCTCCAGAGCCTTGCTATTTGTCAACGGCCTGCACGGTAACATGCGGACCTTGGTAGTGAAGGAACACCCCACTACACTGTCAGCCGCCGTTCAGTCAGCGCTAGCAGTCGCCTCAGACAGCCGATTTCAGCGCAGACCACCACTGGCGACCGCGCCGGGATTCGCACCACCATCAGGTAGCAAAAAGCTAACAAAACTAAGCCCCGAGGAACGTGAGACATTACGAGCCCAGGGGGGCTGCTTCGCATGTCGTCGACCAGGCCATATGGCCCAGAATTGCCCGCAGCATCGAGATCACCCAAACGGTGGACGTCAGTAAGGCCGATGCGATTACTGACGCAGCAAGAAAAGGCATCACCTGCGTGTAGTGTGTGCTCCGTCTCTACCCGTAACCGATTCAGTAGCCTCGCTGTGGAGGATGTTGACGATGATGCTGAATGCTCCGAAGCCAATTTCAAGCGAGATGTTACACCAACTATTGAGGCCCAGGTTACCAGCGTCAATGTGGAAACGGAACATGAGCTCCTGCGTGTAGAAGGCAAAATCAACGGTCGTCGCGCGCTTATGTTAATAGATTCGGGCTCGACCCATGATTTCATTGCCGAACAGTTTGCCAGGAGAGTTAACCTGCCAACCGAAATTGGCTCGGAAAACCTGAATGTCACGCTGGCTGATGGAGCATCAAGCTCGTTTCCCATGGAGACGACCCATGAATTGAAGGTTATCGTAGGCGACTTCAGCGATAACCAAACCTTCACGGTGTTCCCCCTTCATCGCTATGACGCTATATTGGGGAAACCTTGGTTAACGCGTAACAATCCAGACATAAACTTCCGGACGAATGAAGTCAGGTTGAACTCGAATGGTTTGCCTTGTGCGTCGCCCAGTCAAAGCGAACCGACCGCTCCTGTGGAGGCGATGTTCATATCTGGTCGTCAGGCTAGGCATGCCCTTAGGAGTGGAGACGAAGGTGTTCTGGCGTGGGTCAGCGTAGAAGACGGCATTGGCAAGGAACCTCCCGACAAATCCACTCAGAACGAGCACCCAGATCTCAAGGCCATGTTCCGTGACTATGACGATCTTTTCCCGGATGATCTGCCAGCTAGACTCCCACCAGAGAGGTCTGTAGACCACGAAATCCGCCTGGAGGAAGGCTCATCACCCCCATCGCGACCTGCCTATCGCCTGCCCAGGCCAGAAATGGAGGAATTGAAGAAACAGCTCACAGAACTCTTGAAAAAGGGTTTCGTAGAACCAAGTAAGTCCCCCTTTGGTGCACCGGTGTTTTTTGTCAAGAAAGCTGATGGTTCGTTACGCATGGTCTGCGATTGGAGGGAGCTAAACAAGATAACTGTTAAGAACAAGGCGTGCTTGCCCAATGTGGATGATTTATTCGATACCGTACAGGGCGCTAGGTACTTCACGAAACTAGACCTCCGATCAGGGTATAATCAGATTCGCATTCAAGCTGAGGACGTGCCCAAAACCGCGATTAACACTCCCTTTGGGCATTACCAATTTAGGGTCATGGGATTTGGTCTCACCAATGCACCGGCAACATTTCAATCCATGATGAATACGATTCTTCAACCATATCTGAGGGAGTTCGTAGTCGTGTTCCTAGATGACATACTCATCTTCAGCAAAACGTGGTCGGAGCATATGCAGCATGTCCGGTCGGTATTGAGCGTGCTCCGGGACAACCAGTTATTTTGCAAACGGTCAAAATGTGAATTTGGCGTGGAGAGTGTGCGGTTCCTGGGACATTGCATCGATGGACTGCACATCGCCCCTGACCCAGACAAGATTGCCGCAGTAAAGGTCTGGCCCGCTCCGACTTCCGTCACAGAGGTGAGGCAATTTCTTGGATTTACGAATTATTTTAGGCGATTCATAGATCAATACTCATCGCTCTCTAAGAACTTAGAGGAGATAACGGGAAAACATGCACGATTCGAGTGGAACAGCTCTCGGCAACATGCCTTTGAATCGCTAAAGCATGCCTTGTTGAATGCGCCCCTATTGCGGCTGGCTGATGTGAACCGACCATTCAGAGTGGTAACAGATGCAAGCGATTTCGCCTTGGGATGTGTTCTTCTCCAAGAACTAGAGGAAGATGCCTGGCATCCAGTGGCTTATGCTAGCCGAAAATTGTCTGCTGCGGAACAGAATTATACAGCTACAGAAAGAGAAACATTGGCCGTAGTGTTTGCGCTAAAGACCTGGCGCATCTACCTCTTTCAACACTTTGAGGTCATTACAGACAACATGGCGGTAGTTTATCTGAAAACAAAACCAAGCATTACAAAGAGAGAGGCGCGATGGGTTGAATTCCTAGCTGACTATAACTACACAGTCCGTCACAGACCCGGCAGAGAGAACCCTGCAGATCCCCTTTCGCGTCGCCCAGATCTCCATGAGAGTAACCTCGTGGAGAATGCAGTACCACGTTTGAATGCTATTGAGTATGCTTTAGCAATGAATGATGACGTGTCCAATACAATATCAGATGCCTACCAGAGAGACAAAGAGCTAACTCCCATCATAGAAAGATTGAAGCATTCTCTCCGAGATAATTTGCATGATCGCTATTATTGGGACGAATCCACTGATCGCTTGTACCTCAAGGCATCCCCCAATAACCGGTTGTGCATACCACAGTGCGGTGTCCGGTTAAAGCTCATTCAAGAACACCATGAGTGTGCAACGGCTGGCCACCCGGGTCGTGATCGAACGTACTTCCGCCTAGCACGTTTTTTCTACTGGCCCCGAATGGGTCTCGATATCAAGAGATTTGTCAAAACCTGTGATCTCTGCCAGCGAACGAAGGGAGGTCAGCCACGAACAGGGCTTCTCCAGTCACTTCCAATACCTAATAGTCCTTGGCAGGATATCTCAATGGATTTTATTGTTGGATTGCCCCTTACTTCTCGTGGCTTCGACGCAATTTACACCTTTGTGGACCGACTTACGAAATGCGTACATCTTGTTCCAACAAACTCGAAGATTGATGCTAAGGGCAGCGCTCAACTGTACATTCAAAACGTGTTTCGTCTGCACGGGCTGAGCTCAACCATTGTTTCCGATCGCGATCCACGATTCACTGCAGCTTTTTTCAAAGAAGTATTCTCTCAGCTAGGAACTAAATTGGCATTCAGCACTGCTAACCACCCTCAAACGGATGGTTTGACAGAGAGAGTTAACCGGCAAGTGGGAGATGTTCTAAGAGCATTTGTGAACTTGAGACAGGACAATTGGGATTCGCTTCTACCACTCTGCGAGTTTGCAATAAATAGTTCACAACAGTCATCTGTAGCTAATACACCATTCTATCTGAACTATGGGTTTGACCCTAAGTCCCCGCCCGAATTCATTCTTACGGGAGGGGAAAGGAGTGATTCGGTCGATTGGCTTCATGAGCAGGAAGCCGCACTAAGGATAGCTCGAGATGCTATGCTCGACGCCCAGGCAAGGCAAGCTCTATACGCAGACCAGACGAGAACGCCCAGTGATTTGAAGGTTGGTGATAGCGTTCTTGTCAGAGACTTTCTACTGACCCCGGAAGCTCGTGGCCAGCCCTCTCGGAAGTTGCAACCCAAGTGGTTTGGTCCGTATCGTATCCAGGCTAAGATTGGAGCGAATGCTTTTCGCTTGGAACTACCCCGTGAACTTCGCTGCCATCCCGTGTTTAATGTCACTGCTCTTAAACGCTACGAAGAGAACACGATTCCTGGAAGACACCAACCCCCGCCTCCGCCCTTCACAGATCTAGATGGACACACACGCTATGTTGTCGAAGCCGTTTTGAATCACCGACACCGCAGTGGTGAGCAACACTTCCTGGTGCATTGGAAGGGTTACCCCAGCAGCGAAGCTACGTGGGAGCCCGCTGGCAACCTATGTGATGAGTCTGGTCGGAATATTAAACCGCTGCAGAACTATCTAGCCTCACAACGACAGCAGCCTTGATCTAACTGGGCTGAGCCATATGCATCTCTTACTGAGATAATTAATAATTATGTTATAGACTGATATAGTTTTGCGTCATCTCCTTGTGAGAGTGATGAAGTTGAGTTGGATTACACTTCAATGTGGGTATGCATGTGCATGAGTGATTATTTAATATTCCCCTTTCCACAATTGCATCTCCTAACTGGATTGTGTTATCTAATAGAACCTTGGGCTTCCTATGGGGCCGGGAGAGTGTAATAGTTTTACCTTGACACTTCTTGCTTGTCTTATGGTAACACCTTGTGTTCCTACTATTCTCACTCCTGCGGTTCTCACCTTTCTTTTGCTTTATAACCTCTGGTTTGAACATCATTCGACGAATTCTCCAATCAATCAAGTCTATACTGTTACACACACACCATTTGACCATTTGACGCCCATCGCCAAAGGCGATGATCGCGATGCTCCAGCAGAGGCCATAGCGCAGAAGCCATAGCAGCTTGTGCTAGGTTTGCACCATTCAACAGCTTGCAAGGCTGAAGAATTGACCACCACTATTCAGCCTGGTCTATACCACTTACCCTCTCCCATACTTGTAATTCAAAGTGATGTAAATCATCTTCCAACTGCATAACCCACACCCCCACCCACAGCATCTCACCTTCTCATAAACTTATCTCTTATTGGTGATGGTGCCATCGTGAGAATAAAGAATTCAAACCGCACAGCTATGAGTGGCTTTTTTCTGGCCAGTGAATCCCTACTTTTTGGTCTCTTTTTCACACACACACGCACACACGCACACGCACACACACACACACACACACACACACACACACACACACACACACACACACACACACACACACACATACCTTCCTTGCGTATCTATTTTCGGTGTGGGAGCATTCCACGTAGTACCATGAGTTGTCCGGGTACCATCGGCGTTTCATCATCGTCTCTACTTCTTCTTTGGTCACGGGTTTCTTGCCGGCCGCCTGGAGTATGTCGAGTGTGCGCTGGTGTGTGCGCAAGTCAGTCTTGGTCCCAAGAATCACAACTACTGGCGGTGCCATCCTTTTCCCGTCTCCGCTGTCATTGCGCACTTTGGGAAGCCACTGCAACAGGAATGGAAAAAAAGTAGGGCTGAAACGATCGTGGATTTTCATGTATCGATTACTCTTTAGCTTAACGATCGAGTAATCGATTATAATCGTTAGCAAATAGTGTCATAATTCTGTGCAAACATTACTCTGTTTCCACAAACTATGCCTTCATGATACAAACAAATCTGCATTAGTGAAAGGGTAGCTCCGAAACAAGGCAGTTTTGAAGTCAATTTAACCTCAGAACATGAACCATACCCCTGGCAACTGCATACTCCCAGCGGAAACTGATTCAAACTTCACAAAACGAGGGTTTACAGTACTTTCTGGACACAAATTTAAAAAAAGGAAAATAATCGTAATCGGTAATCTAAACGATTGCTCGATCGTTAGAGTTATCAAACGAGTACTCGATTATTTGGTATAATCGTTTCAGCCCTAAAAAAAAGAGTAAAAGAATGTAAAGTTCGCACTTTCGCGTTACCACCTTTGAATTTGTGTGTCAACACTGTTGAATTGTTCGCTGTTAAACGAGAGAGCTTGGAAGCTCAGGGCCCTACGCTATGCTTTTTGCCTTGATGACCTAGACAAACAAGAATAGGGATGTTATAAATTCTTATAAGTTTCTACTTTTTGTTTTTAGACATATTAAACCTGGGATTCGAACCCGCACTATCGCCCTGCATGCATCCCCCGATACACTTCGCATACATACTAATTCTTCCAAGTTGCTTCACGTTATGATCTTGTATTTGAAAGCCCTATTTGAATATGCATTGTGGCCAGCCGTCTTTGATTGTACGGTACGGTACGGGATAGGTACGGGACAGGTACGGGACAGGTACGGTCGAGGGTAATACGCACCGTCTACCGCCTTGATGACGGCAAAAAAATAAAAGGGATGTTATCAATTTTTCAATTATCCTATTTTTTCAGGCATTACCTGGGATTCGAACTCACACTATCGCCTTACATGCATTCCCCAATACACTTCGCATTCATACTCATTCTTCCAAGTTGCTTCACGTTATGATCTTGCGTTTGAAAACCCTATTTGAATATTGCGGCCAGCTGTATGTGGCCAGCTGTGTTTGATGGAACGGTACGGTACGGGACAGATACGGCATAGCGCCAGGCGTGACACAAACACACAAACAAACACCAAATTAAAGCTGTGTGGACCCTGGCTAGCGCCAGACGTTACTGAAGTAACGTCTTCTGCGTAGCTACGGGAATAAATACTACTACCACCAGCTATGCAATTGTGCTCAAGAACACAGCTAGCTTAGGGCCTGGCCAGACTGCGGCAAATTTTCGGTGCCTGACAAAAAAAGAAAATCGTCCATGATTAGAATCGCGATCACACTACACATGTGGGAAGAATGGTTTGCAAGCCTGCCTGCAAATCATGAGGTCCCGAGTTCAAGACCCGCGCTGGTAGCAGGGAGCGTGCAAAAAGACTTTTTACGTGCGTTGAACTGCGCCGACACCCACGGTCAACTGGGTACTCAGAGCTCGGAGTGAGAATAACAAGGATGCAATTTACAGGGTTATGGGCCGTTACACGCCCGATTGGTTGAGAGACTAACCTCCTCTCCCCCGACTCATTTGTGAGGTCTGCATTCGCCACTAAGGTGAACAGACATAGTGGTGGCCTGTGGATGCGAAGGCTAGTTTGTGTGTTTCTGAACATTGAAGCAATGCCGACGCGGATCCAGCGAATATTAATATTATATGAAAGTTCAAATTCTTTTCGAGCGTCAAGTGGTAATCTCCACGAACAACGTCAAATTCCTTCACCTCGGTAATCACCAACACCTTCAGTGCGATCCTTGCAAACATCCCCAGGAGTTTTGTTGTTGTCCGTGGCCAATTGGCTCCTCGATATCGAGATGAAAAATCAGTGAATATCAGCGTCAATGGGGTATCAGGGTCAAACTCTTGTTGGGAGCGGAAATGCGTGGCCCGTCCTCGCTCGTGTTTTGGAGCGTCAACCCTCGATTTCGCCACTCTGGTGTCAAGTTTCTATAGAGATTCGGATTATAATCACAGGATTATTTCGTTTTTGCCGCAGTCTGACCAGGCCCTGAGGAAGTAATGCGTATGCAATGTGAACCTGAAATCCCACCAATAGAGCAAAGATGGGATTATGGGGACTCGTGAAACGCACTCGTACACACGATCATGCATGAACATGTGTGCACGAATACGCATGCACATACTCTACATATGTGCACACATATACATGTACATGTACGCACACACATGTACCTGCCAACACGTGAGAATACACCGCACAGCTGATACACACACCTCAGACCTCAGACCTGCCCATCGCGGAAGCGATGATAGCGAACAGCCATGTTAGACATAGCAACTTGTGCTGGGATTACGCCATTCAACAGCTTGCAAGGCTGATGAATTGACCGCCACTAATTTTAGCTTGGTATCCACCACACAGCTGATTAAATGGCTTTTAGGGCCAGTGAATCCCTATTTTTCATTTTTCATTTTTTCATCTTTACATTCTTTCTTCATTTTTTGACACACACACCATATACTCCGACATGCATTGGCTGTTGGTAACCACCCAGGAGAATGAAAGAAGAGCTAGGAGAATGAGAAAGAGAAGACAGACGAGTGTGACCATAAACATACCACTGCACCAGATGGGACACACACACACACACACACACACACACGCACACACACACACACACACACACACACACACACACACACACACACACACATGCACACACACACACACACACACACACACACACACACACACACACACACACACACACACACATACACACACACTCACTCACATATACACACAGAGTTCCACACACACAAGTTGACTTACCACTTTCTCAACACTTTCAAAGGAGGCACGGTTCACAACGCTAAAGCATATGATGTGAGCATGAGTACATCCCTGATGCAAACAGAGACACGGAGCCGACATCATTATAGTGAAAACAGAGCGTCATGAACGAATCAGGGCCGTCACAGGGCAATGCGAAACCCAATGCCCTACTGTTAACAGACTAAAATGCGCAACGCATTAATGTCGGCTATTTTCGCGAGAACAGCGCGTCACGAGTATTAACCCTTTGTGGACGGACTGTACGAGTTAATAAGATCGAAACTTCGTAACTTCGTAACTCCATCGTTTCTTGAGCAAATTCCACAATCGAAGGGTCTACGTGGTAGCGGGAACTCCAAGCTGTCCAATGCAACAATCGCCGAAGAGTTACAATGTCGGACGCCAGAGATATCGCACGCCGTATTCTTACCTCGGCAAATTCAAATTTTTGATCGATCATTTCGCCATTTTGGGGGAAAATCCCTTTTCGTGTGCTCTTTGAGCGACTAAGCACATGATAATGACGTAGCCGGCTGAAGTTTGAATCGTCTCAAACAGATTTGAACGTTCTGCGATGAAGGAGAGTGGAATGGCGTTGATGGGACGAATTTGCTTGCGTATCAGGCTTGGAGACGACTTTGCTGTGTTACCGCTCCTGATTTGTGGCGGCCGGATAATGGAGATTGGTACCCTGGCGTTGCTCTCGTCAAGAGCTTTCCAATGAGCCCTTGATTGTGAAAATCAAGTGAAGGACACCAAAGTTATGACATGGAAAAGTTGAAAATTGTACTGACATTTTGTAATTCTGGTGCATACTGTGCTAGTAATCCGGCCATAAAGGGTTAACCAGCGTGAAATCAAACTTCAACAGTGGGTGTATGTGCAGTGCTGGCAACTGAAATCCGACCCCTGAGCGATGCGTTCACATTCTAGCGGTCTCTATTTCCTAGTTTTACTATCCCGTGTTGGGTCTTTGTGATGTGAGCTCAGGGGGTCGGATTTCAGTTGCCAGCACTGTAGGTAACCATGGTGATTTGCGAACGTTTGCCACGGTAAACGCAAATATTGGACGATTGGCAGTGATGGGTTATTGAATCGTGGTAGTGCCACTTGTGTCACTTAGATTGTGTAGAGTTAGTTTAGAGTCACATCTGGCTGCGGCGACCTACCCTGCACTTTGTGTAGTGTCGCTATTGCTGTCTATGACTCTGTGTGTGCCAGTATAATGTGGAGGGAGAAGGGTTATTGAGTTGCAGTAGTGCCACTTGTGTCACTTAGATTGTGTAGGAGTTGTCATCAGATTAAGTTGTATTAATTGTATCACTGTGTATTGTGTTGGATTACAATGCAACTCATGTTACTCGTATCACTTCGTGATTGAACGGGATGACGACTACACAATAGCTCAGTGGTTAGAGCATCGCTGGCTACATGCGAAGGTCCCTGGTTCGAGTTCTGGTGGTGACAGTCAATGTTTTCCTCAGACTCTTCCCGTTTGCATCTTTCCCTCAAACCAGTGAATATTTCATGATTATTCTGTATATATATTGCATATGATCAAGCAATAAATAAAGGTATTCTGAGTCCGTCGGGGACACAACAGTCAACACACAGTACAGGTGCTCCCTCGCAAGGCCGTTACTACACTAGGGTAGCCGGCTCAGGTTTCCGTCAAAGCGTGGAATCGCAACCGCAAAAACGCATCGACGAGATATTACATTGCTCTTGCCGTGATGCTACAGTCCACAGAGCTGCGTCACTTGCATTAATACTGTACTCAAAGTTAACTACAGTCCATTCATTGGAAACTGGCACCCTAACTTTTTGTTGTCTCTCTCACATAGTTGTAGATATCGTGAAAACAACAGTACATCCTGCATTGTGTGACCCGTGCAATTACTCCTTGCCACATTTGAGGCCAGAAAAGTCCAAGAACAGGGAAATAGAAATTCAGCCAGGTTTTACAAAATCAGGACAGGTATGCCATGGCAAAATGTATGGAGAAGCAGATCCAAAACCCAGATTTTTGAGATTTAAAGTGGGTTTTTGATCCTCAATTCGGCCCAAATCCGACTTTCAAAAGCCAGCGGGCCAGTTTCCGATGAATGGACTGTACATTCATGTACATAGTCAAGTGGTTTGCTTCACTGTCTGCAGAGTGCTCACTATCCATGTAGGGCAGAGCCTTGTACACAAGAGAGAAATTGGAAGGTTTGTTACTACAACTCTGAGTTTCACGTACTACTACGAGTTGCCTGATGATAGTAGTAAAACGTGAAACTCAGAGTTGTAACAAACCTTCCAATCTCTCTCTTGTGTACAATCATGCACATGACTGCACGTACACGCGCGCTACGAAAAGACCTTGGCTTTGGAAAGTACAAAATGCACTGAATCTGAACAATGGAGAAGGAGGGCAAGCGACCATGCATCAAGGAGATTCAGCTGGCCGTTGCGCCTCGCGTAGGAAGAGTATTCCGTCACCCGACAGCCAGTTTCGCATGAACGTCAGACTCGCTTGCGCTGAAGTCCTTTTCAACTAACTACATGTACTTGTAACCGAGGTGTGAGAAATGAAATTTGTGGACCAAATTACTCAACTCACAAGCGGCCTGCATAGTATCCTAGGTCAACAACGGGCCTCTCGGACTAGCCGGCTAGGCCAGAACATTGTCTCACATAGATCCGTTGATCTCTTCTTCATCACGCCCAGCTCGTGTTTGTAGCTTTCCGGCTGCGATCCTAGAATGCAAGTTTCACCTCGGTCGAGGCGCTTGTTTTGCCTTGTGCGCATCTATTCCCGATCATCTTCACAGAATCTGAAAGAACTTGCTTCTATTAATTCTCTCTTGGGCATGCTGAGGGTCAAATCCGGAGCTAATTTCAAAAGCGAACACAAGCTCATAGCCAGCAATCGCATGTCATCTCGTACATTGAAAATCAACATAATTTTGCGAATCGACCTTTTTTTCAGGATCACTTTTCAACGAGGACGAAGCAAAGTCGGCCGAACGAAGCCTAGAGGAAGAAATCACCCTCTCCACTTCACCATCACGATACTGACATAGATACGAGATGAAACAACTAAAAAATTCACAAGAAAACTGTACGACTATCATCGCGCTGACTTTGGTCTGACTTTGGTCTGAGAATTTCTATCACGATCAAAAATGTACGAGGAGCACTCAAAAATCAGCCACAGACGTACCTTTATCGCTCTCTACTCCTTTTTCAAGGCACAAAAGTCGACTCTCCACTTTCAAACCAGGAACCAGACATACCAGTGGTCCTTTTCAGCTGCTCCACGAGCGCAGGAAATGTTCACCAAGGGGCGCAGAGCAGCATCCATTCCAGAAAAATAGCTAAAATACGAGTGAGACTGCATGCCTGAGTACATGAGTACATGTATGAGTACATGCAGAAAATAGTCAATTTCAGCGTTTCTGCTCCAAACAGCAACCAGCTTCGACTAGAAACAAAGATTACACCAAAGGATCAAACAACAACGATTTTCTGCAGTTTTTTTGCAGTTGGCTTCCTTGTGCTTGGCCCAGCACGCCAAAAATCACACCTCGGAGGAGTACAAAAATTACAACTCTCAGATGTCCTTGATTGCTGGCCATGGACCAAAGGAGCACTCGGAAAGATGGGCGCAATGAGTTCACGTCTCACGGTAGCGGCTCACGGAAACGCCGACCTGGCCTCCAAAGCCCAAGTCAGGATTTTCTCACGGCACGGCTTGCGTTTGGATCGCGTGGCCCGAAACCATTGGCAACCGTCAGAGTCTGATCAAAAGTAGCGCGAAATGTCGTAGTGTAAAACCGGCCTTATTAGATATCTCATGGCCATCAAAAAAGTGATCTTATAACGAGACTTATCTTCTGACGGGACTGGAAATTATAGATATAAGAAGCGCAGATCTGTACTTTTATGGGATACCCTCAATACAACATAATTTATTGCCACTTAAACTCGTTACTAGACGATTGAAAATCTCCATCACGGGTGCTCCCCAGATCCGAAAGATCGTACATGTAGCTACGGACACACAGATAGAGTATGCTGAATCCGATTGCTTTATTAGGTGTGTGTTTCACCTTGGTCAGGTTAGGATTACAGAATTACTGGAATTTCACAAATATTCGGTGTACTTACATTTTTGGTCCTTTCGGTGCCTCTGTTTCATACCTAAATTTTCCATACACCGAGCAAACACTAACACACATAATCCAATAGGGAACTGCTTCTCTGTACCTAAAGTTTCTGTTCACCTAACCTGGCATTTTGCCCTCATACCGAAAATATTTAGCACCGAAAATTTCTGAAATTAGAGTGTTTCATACTGTGGGTTTGACACTCCATTGACTTAGCTCAAGAGTCGTCATAAGTTATAGCGAATTGTACGTACTAACGATTATGTGGTAAGCAGACCTGGAAACAGTTGTATAGACCACGTTTCGCCAGGGCATGTCAGAATTTTATTTACCAACGGGGTTTTTGTACTGACCGGACTTGTTATAACGAGGGAAGACCTGTGTTGGTTTTTTTTGTACTGACCGGACTTGTTATAACGAGGGAAGACCGACCTGTATTGGGGTTTTTGTACTGACCGGACTTGTTATAACCAGGGAGGACCTGTATTGGGGTTTTTGTACTGACCGGACTTGTTATAACCAGGGAGGACCTGTATTGGGGTTTTTGTACTGACCGGACTTGTTATAACCAGGGAGGACCTCTATTGGGGTTTTTGTACTGACCGGACTTGTTATAACTAGGGAGGACCTGTATTGGGGGGTTATGTACTGACCGGACTTGTTATAACCAGGGAGGACCTGTATTGGGGTTTTTGTACTGACCGGACTTGTTATAACGAGGGAAGACCTGTGTTGGTTTTTTTTGTACTGACCGGACTTGTTATAACGAGGGAAGACCGACCTGTATTGGGGTTTATGTACTGACCCGACTTGTTATAACAAGGGAGGACCTGTATGGGTTTTTTTCGTACTGACCGGACTTGTTATAACGAGGGAGGACCTGTATTGGGGGGGGGGGGGGGGGGTTATGTACTGACCGGACTTGTTATAACGAGGGAGGACCTGTATTGGGGGTTTTCCCTTTGACCTACCGGTGCTTTGCAGAAGCCGTTTCTCCCACTAAACCTTCGTTTCACATAGGGGCCTGCCTCTATCACGGCTGTGCACAACAACAACAACAACAACAACAACAACAACAACAACAACAACAACAACAACAACAACAACAACAACAACAACAACAACGACGACAACAACAACAACAACACACACACACGCCAGTCAAACAGACAGCGTTACCAGCCAAACAGACAGTGTTACCAGCCAAACAGACAGCATTACCAGCCAAACAGACAGCGTTACCAGCCAAACAGACAGCATTACCAGCCAAACAGACAGCATTACCAGCCAAACAGACAGCATTACCAGCCAAACAGACAGCATTACCAGCCAAACAGACAGCATTACCAGCCAAACAGACAGCATTACCAGCCAAACAGACAGCATTACCAGCCAAACAGACAGCATTACCAGCCAAACAGACAGCGTTACCAGCCAAACAGACAGCGTTCCAGCCAAACAGACAGTGTTACCAGCCAAACAGACAGCATTACCAGCCAAACAGACAGTGTTACCAGCCAAACAGACAGTGTTACCAGCCAAACAGACAGCGTTCCAGCCAAACAGACAGCGTTCCAGCCAAACAGACAGCATTACCAGCCAAACAGACAGCGTTACCAGCCAAACAGACAGTGTTACCAGCCAAACAGACAGCATTACCAGCCAAACAGACAGCATTACCAGCCAAACAGACAGTGTTACCAGCCAAACAGACAGTGTTACCAGCCAAACAGACAGCGTTCCAGCCAAACAGACAGCGTTACCAGTCAAACAGACAGCATTACCAGCCAAACAGACAGCGTTACCAGCCAAACAGACAGTGTTACCAGCCAAACAGACAGCGTTCCAGCCAAACAGACAGTGTTACCAGTCAAACAGACAGCATTACCAGCCAAACAGACAGCGTTCCAGCCAAACAGACAGTGTTACCAGCCAAACAGACAGCGTTCCAGCCAAACAGACAGCGTTCCAGCCAAACAGACAGCGTTCCAGCCAAACAGACAGTGTTACCAGCCAAACAGACAGCGTTACCAGTCAAACAGACAGCGTTACCAGTCAAACAGACAGCATTACCAGCCAAACAGACAGCGTTACCAGCCAAACAGACAGTGTTTCCAGCCAAACAGACAGCGTTCCAGCCAAACAGACAGTGTTACCAGTCAAACAGACAGCATTACCAGCCAAACAGACAGCGTTCCAGCCAAACAGACAGCATTACCAGCCAACCAGACAGTGTTACCAGCCAAACAGACAGCGTTCCAGCCAAACAGACAGCGTTACCAGTCAAACAGACAGCATTACCAGCCAAACAGACAGCGTTACCAGCCAAACAGACAGTGTTACCAGCCAAACAGACAGCGTTCCAGCCAAACAGACAGTGTTACCAGTCAAACAGACAGCATTACCAGCCAAACAGACAGCGTTCCAGCCAAACAGACAGTGTTACCAGCCAAACAGACAGCGTTCCAGCCAAACAGACAGCATTACCAGCCAAACAGACAGCGTTACCAGCCAAACAGACAGTGTTACCAGCCAAACAGACAGCATTACCAGCCAAACAGACAGTGTTACCAGCCAAACAGACAGTGTTACCAGCCAAACAGACAGCGTTCCAGCCAAACAGACAGCGTTACCAGTCAAACAGACAGCATTACCAGCCAAACAGACAGCGTTACCAGCCAAACAGACAGCGTTACCAGCCAAACAGACAGCGTTCCAGTCAAACAGACAGCATTACCAGCCAAACAGACAGCATTACCAGCCAAACAGACAGCGTTCCAGCCAAACAGACAGTGTTACCAGCCAAACAGACAGCGTTCCAGCCAAACAGACAGCGTTCCAGCCAAACAGACAGCGTTCCAGCCAAACAGACAGTGTTACCAGCCAAACAGACAGCGTTACCAGTCAAACAGACAGCGTTACCAGTCAAACAGACAGCATTACCAGCCAAACAGACAGCGTTACCAGCCAAACAGACAGTGTTACCAGCCAAACAGACAGCGTTCCAGCCAAACAGACAGTGTTACCAGTCAAACAGACAGCATTACCAGCCAAACAGACAGCGTTCCAGCCAAACAGACAGCATTACCAGCCAACCAGACAGTGTTACCAGCCAAACAGACAGCATTACCAGCCAACCAGACAGTGTTACCAGCCAAACAGACAGCGTTCCAGCCAAACAGACAGCGTTACCAGTCAAACAGACAGCATTACCAGCCAAACAGACAGCGTTACCAGCCAAACAGACAGTGTTACCAGCCAAACAGACAGCGTTCCAGCCAAACAGACAGTGTTACCAGTCAAACAGACAGCATTACCAGCCAAACAGACAGCGTTCCAGCCAAACAGACAGTGTTACCAGCCAAACAGACAGCGTTCCAGCCAAACAGACAGCGTTCCAGCCAAACAGACAGCGTTCCAGCCAAACAGACAGCGTTACCAGCCAAACAGACAGCGTTACCAGTCAAACAGACAGCGTTACCAGCCAAACAGACAGTGTTACCAGCCAAACAGACAGTGTTACCAGCCAAACAGACAGCGTTACCAGCCAAACAGACAGCGTTCCAGCCAAACAGACAGTGTTACCAGCCAAACAGACAGCGTTACCAGCCAAACAGACAGCGTTCCAGCCAAACAGACAGCGTTACCAGCCAAACAGACAGTGTTACCAGCCAAACAGACAGTGTTACCAGCCAAACAGACAGTGTTACCAGCCAAACAGACAGCGTTACCAGCCAAACAGACAGCGTTCCAGCCAAACAGACAGCGTTACCAGCCAAACAGACAGCGTTACCAGCCAAACAGACAGCGTTCCAGCCAAACAGACAGCGTTACCAGCCAAACAGACAGTGTTACCAGCCAAACAGACAGTGTTACCAGCCAAACAGACAGTGTTACCAGCCAAATAGACAGTGTTCTGCGTACATGGACTAGAGTATTATGCATGATCGTGTTCTCCGCACATTAACCCAGCTTACCATTTGTTTCAACAAGCTCCACATCCGTGTCCTGTGCTCCACCATAATCACTCTCGTCCAGATAGACACCATTATACGGCAGGTCCCTAGGGTGGCAGACACGGTAACACACGGTGCAAAATCTCGTGAAACTCCACTGAAAACGGAATCAAGCGTTCTGATGAAGATTCCACGCAAGTCCAAACAGTACTTAAAAAAACAAAAATCACAGGCGTGGCAGGTGAGGCCAAACTGCGCCACTAATTTCATATTGTGCTTTTTGAATAGAGACTTAGTTGAAGGGTAACATAGCACACGAAGAGACGAAGCCAGTTGTAAATCTGGTGAGGCATTGCGTGCCGTTACTTCTCAAATCAGTACACATTTTTCCCCAATGTGCTGTATAAATTGACATCGCTGTGCTTCGTCATATTATCACCATGTACTGATTCGAGAAGTAATGGCACGAAAGGCCTTGTCAGATTTACAACTAGCTACGTCGCTTCATGTGCGAATTGTGCTTTTGAAACATACTTCTCCATGATACTTCTGCATGGAGAAGTATCATGGAGAAGTATCGTAAATATTTCTATCTTTATTTATCATATAATACCACTCCTTGGTCTAGAAAGAATACTTTTTGGATAATAAAATATGGCCTATATGGGCCCAATTTCCAATTTTTCCAGGGAAGGGAGAGGGTGATCATTTTTTTCTTTTCTTCGTCGAATGATATCAAGTCAGTATCGCTGCCAATGTCATCTCCGCAGGCCTTGCCGTCGTTTTGACTGGACTGGCAATCCTCGCCAAGTCTTCAAAAAGGCGCAGCGCTCCCGCTGTGTCCATGGCTTTCTTCTCTGCTTCCACTACAGTTGTGTTCTGTCTCGAAGCCTGTTTTGAACGAGAGAGCTTGGAAGCTCAGGGCCCTACGCTATGCTTTTTTTGCCTAGCTAGCTCATCATGCATGTTGTTAGAACTGATGGAAATGTTTTTTTTCCATTGATTGGCTACATCAAAATTTCTCTTTGCATCCGAGGGTAATACGACACCGTCTACATGGTCTGCCACCTTGATGACCTAGGCAAAAAAAGCATAGGGATGTTATAATTTTTTCATTTCTCCTTTTTTTAGACATAACCTGGGATTCGAACCCGCCCTATCGCCCTGCATCATCCCCCGACACACTTCGCATACATACTCATTCTTCCAAGTTGCTTCACGTTATGATCTTGCATTTAAAAGCCCTATTTGAATATTGTGGCCAGCTGTTTGTAGCCAGCTGTCTTTGATGGTACAGTACGGGACAGGTACGGCCGAGGGTAGTACGACACCGTCTGCCACCTTGATGACTTAGGCAAAAAAAGCATAGGGATGTTATAAATTTTTCATTTCTCCTATATTCTTTTCAAGACATAACCTGGGATTCGAACCCGCACTATCGCCCTGCATGCATTCCCCCGATTCACTTCGCATTCATACTCATACTCATTCTTCCAAGTTGCTTCACGTTATGATCTTGCATTTGAAAGCCCGATTTGAATATTGTGACCAGCTGTTTGTGGTCAGCTGTCTTTGATGGTACGGTACGTTATGAGACAGGTGCGTGATAGCGCCAGGCATGCCGGTTTCACAAACAAACAAACGAACACGGAATTAAAGCTGTGTGGACCCTGGCTAGCGCCAGACGTTACTGAAGTAACGTCTCTTGAATAGCTACGGAAATAAAAGCCTGTTTTGAAGCCTGTTTTGAATTTTTTTTTAAGGGTTTGCTCCCCACACCGGAGCTCGCGCTATTCCGCCGATTTGACTTGACACTTGACTGACTCGCGACTGCCATCCAGAGAACACGTTGCAGGTTTGTCGAGTCGAAGGTTCGATGGACTTCTCGTGTTCTCTGGATGGCAGTCGTGAGTCAGTCAGGTCAAATCGGCGGAGTAGCGCGAGCTCCGATGTAGGGAGCGAACCCTTTCTTACGAATCATCGCCGAAGTCGCAACCCCTATTTCGTACTGTTTTGAATAAAATACTTATTTTGAAGGTACGCTGTCAGCATATAAGCCTGGTTTTAGTGTCGACATACATAGCAGGCCCGTCGCACCGACTTTGGAGGTGGGGCGGCCATGGAAGGGAGGAGGGGGGGGGGGGTCCCAATGCATGACAGACATACTAAACATGTCACCTACTTTCTTGGTCCGGGGGCCAAGTCCCAAAAAGGTGCTTCTAAATGGGACCAGCAATATTTCACTTCTGCTTGAGCGCATTCTTACGCAATTGCTTCCATTCGTGCCTGCACATTTACGGAGTACTGAAGATTGTATGATGGTGTTGCGCAACCTCAAAAACCACCCAGAGGAATGTATTGTAGCGTCTCTGGACGCTGTTTCACTCTACTCGAGTATTCCTATTCAAGAAAGCATCGATGCGGCGGCCATAGAGTTATTAGAAGAGCATGAGGAATCAGTTGATATGTTTGCACTGTCATTATCAGACATACGCGAAATGCTCATGGTTGTCCTCGAGTCACATTTCTTTGAGTTTGACGGCGTTATCTATCGACAACAGCAGGGTCTAGCTATGGGCAACCACCTCGCGCACCCCATTGGCTATTATCTTTGTGCGAAATTCGAGTCACGTGCCCTGTCTGAGTATCCCCTGAAACCGCTCTTGTATCGTCGGTATATTGATGATTGCTCGTTTGGATCTTTGGTATTGCTGCATTTCTGGCATTTGTTGATTATCTCAATTCCCGCCACCCACGCATACAATTCACCGCAGAATATACACACACGACCAACTCTCGCACCATCAGTTACTTGGACCTGTCAATCTCGGTGTCAGGTGGCAAGTTGGACTGGGAGTTATTTGTCAAGTCGTCCCATAGTGGTGTACAGTACATTTGTCATATTTGTCTGCTTTGCCAATGGAAACAAAAATCGCTATCGCCAACAACCAGATCCTCAGGGCAGTCAACAACGCAACAACGGAGGCAGGACGACAACGGGGGATTAAAAAGATCACCACACTCCTCCTTGAGAACCACTACCCTCCCATGTCGCATTATACCATCAGCCATACAACAATTAGACACCGCACGGGCAACCGCCCGCATCCCAGAGCAGCACCACCAGCAGACACCACATCGGAAGGGGAAACGACAGTACACGTCACTTGTCAAGGTACCGTACGTAAACGACCAGCTTGCAAGGAGGGTTCGTCAAGTGGTCAGGTCGTTCGATAGAGATGCGCCTGTTGTCTTTACGTCCGGTCGCTCACTACATGATATATTGGTCTCGTCGTCATTCAGCAAGCCACAATGCCCCAGGACACTACAGCAGCAGAGGGAGAAGAGGGGGTGGGGTCAGCCGGCTGAATGCCGTGCATGCGATGGTGATCTGAAACGTGATGCGTGTATGTCCCAAGATGTGGTGTACTCTATGACATGTACCATCTGTTAAGATGATTACGTCGGGGAAACAGAAAGGACAACACGCAAGAGGACTGAGGAGCACTACAGACAAGCCAAGAACGCGACATTGGGAAAGCCATGGGGAGACCATTATCGACAAAAGCAGCACACCCTCCCATCGTCACCGCAGTTCTCACCATTCACCAATCTACAAGTTCTCAACATTCACCCATCCACAACAACAAGACGTGTCGTGGCAAGTCGTGGCAACAAGACGCCATTTTTGATGTGAGGATTACTCACCCCGCAGCGTTCGTGTTGTCTCGATCACAAGCCCTGATCCAGCTCAAATCCCATGAGCGAGCGAAGAAAAATCAATATGCCAGTCGGGTTGTGAACGTTGAGCGTGGCTCATTCACCCCACTGGTGTTTTCTACATATGGATTCAGTGGACCTGAGACCAATCAGGTCTTAAAGTCTTTGGCCTCCCTTTTTGTAGGGCGCCATAATGATCTCAAATACCCCGTTGTCATGGGTATGCTGCGTACCCGATTATCATTTTGCCTTTTGCGGTGGGATTACTTGCTTCCGTGGATGTCGTGGCTCGTATACCAAAAGACGTTTGAATTCATTTGTTGCTCAGTGCCGTCAGGCTCGTTAGTGCTTTGCACTTCACCTGAGCAGATTATCACATGTCACTTCAATAATTATGTGGGATTAATATCTTACATTAGATAATATATTGTTGGTACAATATCTGCAATCATCCAATATTTATTTGACACAATAATATTCTTAATTTAACTCAATTCAATGGTTTCCCGACTATATTGACATATTCATTGATGATAATCTATTCAGTTTTCTCTGGATTGCCCGTAAAGGAGGCCCTTCTCATTCACCCATCTACAAGTTCTCACCATTCACCCATCTACAAATTCTCACCATTCACCCATCTACAAGTTCTCGCCAGCAGGCAACGGTCATACGCTGACTGCAGAATCATGGAGGCACTATTCATGAGGAAAAGGAAGCCGGCAGTGACACAAGACAAGGTGTGTTGCTAGAAGTGTGGATTTTTCTGCTTTGTACCCACACTAGTAACCCTCCACCAGCAGTGCACTATATTTTTTCACTTCATAAATATCACGCGGACGAAAATTTGAACTAATGTATATCAATTGCAGTGTAGCCTAGAGACCGTTAGAGAGAGTGTATACAAGGTGTGTGTACAGGATGTATGGATTCGAGTAGAAATAGAGCATTTTTTATTATTATTTTATTTATTTCACCTTCCCGTGGCCAGGGAATATAGGCCGATATGGAGGGAGGTGGGGGGGGGGGGGGGCGCGATAGCCAGCCATGGCAGTGAGCAAAAACAATGAAAAAATATTACAAATAACAAGAGGGAATAACCCACACAGGGCATTGTATGATGGACATACTGAGCGTGTCATCATGGTTACTTACTGTCGCAGTGATGCGTAGCCGTGTTCCAGAACAAGTGGCAAACCGTAGGCAGCCAGTACAGCTGACGACTTGCCCACGCCACTGCCAGACGGGGGCGGAAGAGAGAGAGAGAGGTTGTTAACATGCAGACCCACATGCGCAAATGCACGTACACGCACGAAAGCACACGTGTATGCACACACACACACAAAGTCACACATACACAAAGTCACAAACACACACACACACACACACACACACACGTTCGCACGCGTGCACACACGCGCACACGTTCGCACACACACAGATGAGGTCTAGTCATGTGACCTTGTGGCTCAGCTGAATGTTGTAATCATTGATAGCTATCAGGAAAGAGGTTTACTGTATCTGACATGCAGAGTGCGTCGACTCTATTGCAGCCAATTCATTTTAAAAGATCGCTCAAACACACACATACAGTCTCTCAACAAGTATGCATGTTTGTTTGGCAAAGGGTTAAACATTTAAAACAATTCCGCTCCTGCTCTTGTAGCAGTTGAGCACTCTTGCGTGGAGTAGTGCCTTTGCTGTTTGCGTTATGCAGAGCTCACCGACTTGTCAGTTTGAGCACTCTGGCAAGGTACGTTCGGGCCTGATTGGAAATTTTTATTTCCATTGCTATCAGGTTCGGCCTCATTTCCTCTGTGCTGGGCTGACGAGTCCACAAAGGACGAAACAGTTCTGTCCGCAGATTGAGTAAAATAATTTCCCTCAAAATATGTCGGTCCTGGACAATGATCAGGATTGGAGAGCGATCTTTAAAAACCTGAAATGCACAGTGCGCTTTAGGATCTACATAAGAGACAGGATTACAGTCCGGCCTCGCTTAGCCGCACACATCCGTTTTCCACAAAAAAATATCCGGGTAGGCGAGGGAACCGGAGGATGGAACATACTAGGCACTGGCGGATTATGCCAGCAAAATAATAATTATAACAATTAGTGGCATAATTTTGGTTATACTCATAAAAAGAACACACTTCAGGCTCATTAGTAGTAGTATTCTTTTATTTATAGTGGAGGAACCAAAACAGGCAGACGCCTAATAACAATGGACCCACTGTGTAGGGTGATGGAGGAGGGGGGGGGGGGGGGCATGGCTAATGGTAAAATAGTGGCGACGAAATAGAGCAGTTCCAGCACAGTTACAGAAACATGGGCGTAAAGCTAAAAGCAGGCAAGAATGTGTTGCAAAGCGCTTGACTTGAAGGCGAAATAGAGCAGTTCCAGCACAGCTACAGAAACATGGGCGTAAAGCTAAAAGCAGGCAAGAATGTGTTGCAAAGCGCTTGACTTGAAGGCGGCCAGTTTGGTGATGCCTCGGATATCCGCCTGGAGGGAATTGCACGTATTCATCCAAAATGGCGGACGCCCACGCTGCATACATGGTATGGGCGCACGTGAGCCACGCTGTGGGGACACTTGTTCGATTCCGCATACAAATATATACAAATACGTGGAAAAGAAGTTTCTCTAATCGCTGGAACTTGTGAGTTTCTTTCGATATAGACTACTGGTCTTCAAGGTATACAATAGTAGTGACCCAACGAAGTGGAATTTGCGGAATACAACGTTCGAGACGGCTCAACAAGTCAAGAGTAAAGTGCGAATTTACTATGTACGCAAATGAGAAAACCTACTTGTTTCCCCGCAGCGCTAGTCACGTGCGCCTTCAGTGAATACGTGCCATTCCAGAGAACTGCACCAGCATGTCACCAATTTGGTAGAATGTGCAGAAGCAGGGGCAGGGACGATAAGCAGGTTACTGTTGCCTCCTCGAGTTCTTCGTGACGAAAGAGGTCGAAAAAAGTTTCAAACAATCTACTTCCTGAAGAATTTAGACAACGCCATATAAAGCAGAGCAAGTTAAGTTGAAAGGTACCGCACAAGGGAGAGACATGTACACGCTCAAGCAGCGTAACAGTGGGGGTCCATGGGGGCACTTTGCATACAGCAGGCAGTGCGCGCTTGAAGAGCCATTATGAACATCTTGAAAGTTTTCACAAGTATACTTTCAAGCCTTCTCATCAGGTGAAATATACAGGCAAGGGAAAAGGAACAGGAATAGAAACAGTGGATTACAGTCCATTCATTGGAAACTGGCACCCTAACTTTTTGGTGTCTCTCTCACATAGTTGTAGAGATCGTGAAAACAACAGTACGTCCTGCATTGTGTGACCCGTGCAATTACTCCTTGCCACATTTGAGGCCAGAAAAGTCCAATAATAGGGAAATAGAAATTCAGCCAGGTTTTACAAAATTAGGACAGGTATGCCATGGTAAAATGTATTGAGAAGCAGATCCAAAACCCAGATTTTTGAGATTTAAAGTGGGTTTTTGATCCTCAATTCGGCCCAAATCCGACTTTCAAAAGCCAGCGGGCCCGTTTCCGATGAATGGACTGTAAGTACAGTAAGGTCCAGGAGGTGGTAAAACAGCGCAAGGAAGAAGATAGCTAAAGTAAACAGCGAAAATGCGTGACCTATACACATAGTAATAATGACACAAAGGTGCAAGTGCGAGAAAACTCAATAAGCGTGACATGTAGTGCGACAACAAGAGACAACCACTGGACATAACTAAGGAGGTTTTGACGACCTACCTAAGAGCCTAAGTGTGAATTTAATTTGCTTCTGCTTGCAAAGGTTGGGTTTGTTTGTGTGGATGTATTCGGTTTCCAAAACATTCAGCAATCTTGCGCTGCGTACACGTGACACAATCGAAAAACAATCATCTGAATACACAGCACGGCAATCACGCAGTGCTAGATTGCTGAATGCTTTGGAAGCCGTATACTTTGCAAGCAGAAGCAAAGGTATACACCATTGTCTCGCCATTGTCACGTCACAGCCATTCTTCAGTTGCCATGATAATGCCGTAGCTTGGCAATGAAGTGACGAAGTGACAAACACATGCTCACAAAGAATGTGTCTGTCTGAAGAATGGCTGTGACGTGACAATGGTGAGGTGCTGTGCTGTGTGGTGAGTCAGTGGACGGAGTGAATGCCCCAGGGGCCTCTCGCGTTGCTACTTGCCGTGCTATGCTGTGCCATCTATCGAAGTCACACCTGGCTATCACTACATGACTGTACTCTCACTAACACTCTTTATATTACTAGTATCCTCAGTGTAGTCTATCTGTATCGCCTTTGCTTAGCCTTAATCTTCGCGCCTAAGATGCGCCATAATGTTTCCCCCTTTTTTGCCCCTAAGATGCGCCATTATGTTTCCCCCTTTTTTGCTACAAAAGGGTGAAGTTCACTATCTGTTAGCCATTCTACATTATCAACCTTCACTGACGAGATCCTGATGATCGAAACAGCTGCTGTCTGAAGGAGCAGAGTACCAACTGAATTGTCATTTTGCTGATGGTGTGCTGTGGCAACGTGTTGATGTCGGCCGGAGAGTGCAGCGGTGTGGTGTGGTGGTTGATAAGAATCTGGACAAGGCCGAATGCTGCTACTTACCCCTTTTGTTCTAGTATGTAGGCTACACAATTGTTGTAGTACTTACGCTGATGATTGTTTCTCTGTCTTTCACGGTGCTTGGGACCGGTACTATTGTTTACGACTTGCAGTTACAAGATTTGAAAGCTGAAATTGTCAACGGAAGCGGACTGGCAGATATATATATATATATTGAAGCTCTTTTCACCGCTTTCGATTGGCCCAGTGGCTATCCGCTTTAAGCTGCAGGAGGGCGTTGACACGTCACATAAACTCTCTCCCAAACTTCCCGAGAAAACCTTCACAAATTCCACATATCACCTCCCCCCCCCCCCCTCCTTCTATACTTGTGCTTACTACGTTAACAAAAGCTTACTACGTTAACAAAAACTTCGTGATGGCTTTTGGAGGGACTGGTTTGCGCACAAACTGCTGTGAAAAGAGTCGTGATCACTTTCTCGGCCTTCCCTGGCGTGCCATGAAAGAGGTATGATGCGAGGAAAGCGACCCTTCACAATATGCCGATCGGAATCGATGGATGCGCTGTGGCAACATAGGTGATGACAGTCACGGCGAGCGAAACTGAAATACCACTTCTCCGGGGGGAGAATGCGCTGCTTGGCCTCTCTACTACTCTAGCACTGAGTTTGAGAGTAGGGAGGTTCTGCTCTACGTTTTGGGAACGCGACGCAAAGAATCACGCGAACTTTCTTCGCGTTCCCGTAACGTAAAGAAATGCTGTTCTGCTCTACGTTTCACCTAGAGAAGTCACGTGGAATGTGTACTGGGAATTTCCCCTTCCATATTTGGCAGTTTTCTGCATGCAGTTGATCGATACCCAGCAAATCCGTACGCATTTTCTCTGCGTGTGCCACAACGTAGAGAACCCCATCTCCGCGTAGAAATCTGGAGCCAAAACACGCGAAGCCGTAGACTCTAACCCAGACACCTGCTCTCTACGTGATTTCTCTACGTTTCACGTATAGCAGAACCTCCCTAATGATAGAGACTGATGGAACGGAGCAGCGAGCCCACACAATGAGCGAGTGAACAAGGAGCTGCTCCGATCGCACGGCGCAATGAAATAAACTTGAACTCAAGTTCTTGTTCAACCTGCGCAAAGCCCAGAATCGAATGTCGATGACCATGCATACTTTCAGAAGTCTGCAGTCCGACGCGAGTCTCGTGGCTAAGGAAAGTCGACTGGACTTGCTAGCCGCTGCCGTTCAGTGCTGGCAAGAGTATCCACTAGAGAAAATGGAATCCGTTTGGCTGTGCCTTTACTCCTCGTTTCACGGAGTTCAGGAGAGCGGAGATGAAACCAATGAGTCGTATAATAGTTTTACAACTCTGAGGTGGAAACGAGTAATTGCCGCCGCGGGGGATCACGCAGCTTGAAAGCCAACTTACTTGAACCACAGCGACATCAAGTTAAGCGGAGTGTGATCAAAGAAGCCGAGGCAAGGCTGAAACGATCTGAACAACGACTCGAGAGAGATGACGACTCGTGTGCAGCAGATGACGACAGCGACGCAGGGTCAAAAATGAGTCGAGCGAAAGCAACGCAAACTGAACTCCCTGATCATTCCGCTAACAGTTTCTCTTGTAAAGACGCTGCTGCACATATGCTGAACTACCTTCGTTCAGTGATTTGCAGTCGATGCAAACTGTTCTTGATCTGTTCTACAGTCCATTTCAAAACTATAGACGCGTACCTAGGCAAAAACCGTTATGCCAGCATCTATACCACATAAAATCTGTGATCCCTTTGTGCATAATTTTTTCCAAATTGGGCGTCTGTTATCCAATCGTTTAGAAACTATATGAGAGTAATTGTGGAGCGATCCTGAGCAACATTCCGAAAACTATTCTCAAAAAGGTCCAGCCAAATTTGAAATATTTCAAAAACCCTACGCGTCTATAGTTTTGAAATGCAATGTAAGCGTTTTCAAATCCATCAAAATCCATCACGAAGTTTTTGTTAACGGATGAAGTATGCTTTACACTGTCACGTAACACTTACGTATCTCCATATACCTTGATGGTGAGACGATTGCGACTCTGGTCCTCTGCTACGCTAGCATCCGAGTGCCGCCGCATGTTCGTCACCCGCTTCATTCGCCTCAGCAGCCGCTCGGGATCGAACGGCTCCGCTCGAAGCCGCATGACCTTCTCTCCACGCTCCGCAGCACCCCCGGCACTGGCCTGCGAGGTGCGACTGGAGCTCTGCTGCGACGCTGCCCTCGTTCGCTGGACTGAGTGCGAGTGGCTGCTGTGCCTTGTCGGCGAGGACACGGACGACCCCGTCGCGCCCGTGCCGAACACAGAGTCACACAGAGCACTCTCAGGGCGTGCTGCTCGCCGTGCGACACCGCAGTCGCTGCTGCCACCGCTGCTGTCCTCGTCGCTGCCATCGCTGCTGCTGCTGCTGCTGCTGCCGCAGGCGTATTCGTGGTCCATCAGTGCCTCGTCCTCCTCTGTAATTTGAAGTGCGGCCACACCGGACACAAGGGAAGATGCATGCAGCGACGACGGGTAGCGCCTGCTGCTGCTGCTGCTCTTCTTCCTGCTGCTGCTCTTCTTGCTGCTGCTGCTGTTCTTGCTGCTGCTGCTGCCCAGGTCACCTACAGCACCACCGAAGCTGTTGCAACTACAGGGACGAGTGCAGCGTTGAGGTAGTCCACTACCGCTGCTGCTGGTGGTGCTGCTGCTGATCTGCTGCGGTTCGGACTCCGGCCGCCCAGTCTCAGCCTCAGACTCGTCTTCGTACACCATCACCATGGAACTCAACTCCACTGGCAGCAAGCCGGCATTCTGCAGACTGGAGCTCACGCGTCGCAGCCTTGTACAGTACTCGCGCGTGCAATCCTCCCAGGCCTGCTGTTGCCAGGCGCACGGCACAGCTACGGAGCTCCTCTCCTTTATCTCTGGCCAGTGGGCTAAGCTGCTGCGTAGATCTTTGACCAGGCTGCCCTGCTCACCATCTCCGCTGGTCTGAGAGCAGCTGTCCAGTGCATCCATAGCCACCCGACGTAACCTGGCGCTCTTGCTCATCTCCATTAGGGTGGGCAGCTCGATGGCAGGGTTTCCGTTGTTGTGCTCTTGCAGCCACGCCGTGTACGCTGGCGATTCTTCCGCGGCGCTCGGGCTCCCTGAGCTGCTCTGTTCCTGCCTCTTCACCTGTGCTCGGGGGCTGTACGTGGCGGAGATGCTGCCACGTGGCGGCGCGCTCGGAAACTCTGCCCTGTCCCGGAGGCTCAACTCTAGAAAGTTCGAACTGGAGAGTCTTGACAGTCTGGGCAATGCACGGGGAAACGTCCCACCAAGACAGGACCGCTGCTCATCAGCGGCCTCGTCCACAACATCTTCCGCATGGTGCAGGCGCACGGCCTCGCCAGCAGCGGGCTCAAGCATTGGCATCTCGCTAGCGCTTCGTTGTCGTCCTTCCTCTCGGTGTCGCTCTTCGCGTGCTTTCCTTGCCTCTTCATCTCGCTGTCTCTCTTCGGCTGCGAACCTTACTGCTGCCGAAGAATAATTATCCCGGTCAACGAGCCTTGGCAGATCCATGTCCTCCCGTGAGGTGCCGTACGACACACACACACACGTGCACACGCACACAGACAACGGGGAGAAAAATAGTCTACAGCTCAAAACCCGGCGACTGGAAAGCTGGACGGACGACGGGTGCCCAGGAAGCGCCACTCTCCGTGACTACCATGCGTTCAGCAGTAACTGTTGACTTCCTCGCTGTAGCCTCGAGGCCCCTGACGGCCTGAGTTCTCTCTACCTGTTTCGGCAGAGGGAAGAAAAACTAATCTTGCAACTGCAGTGCAGTGCAGGTGATGAAGCACAATCATGCACTGACTGTAGCAGTTGTAGTACTGCATTAATTTTATCGTAGTCGGTCGACGCGGTGCGGAGCAGGGAGCTGCCAGTCCCCTGGCGCGATGAGTCAAGAAAGCCGAAAGGGAGTTGTAAAATATCAGTACTTTAGTACACTATGCTCCAAGTGACGAAAATTTAATAGTATAATAGGGAGGTTCTGCTCTACGTTTTGGGAACGCGACGCAAAGAATCACGCGAGCTTTCTTCGCGTTCCCGTAACGTAAAGAAATGCTGTTCTGCTCTACGTTTCACCTAGAGAAGTCACGTGGAATGTGTACTGGGAATTTCCCCTTCCATATTTGGCAGTTTTCTGCATGCAGTTGATCGATACCCAGCAAATCCGTACGCATTTTCTCTGCGTGTGCCACAACGTAGAGAACCCGATCTCCGCGTAGAAATCTGGAGCCAAAACACGCGAAGCCGTAGACTCTAACCCAGACACCTGCTCTCTACGTGATTTCTCTACGTTTCACGTATAGCAGAACCTCCCTAAGGGCCTGTCCACACTAGGTAATAAAAACGGCGTGCCGTTTCAGAGTACGTGACGTACACGCGGTGCGCTGTCCACACTTCGCTCTGTCACCTGTACCACTACGTGTACCTGTTCATTTTTGTCCGTGGATGCACTACTGCCACTGGAAGACACGCAAGTGACTTGTAGTTGTAGCGTGTAGACCAGGCAAGCACTCCCTGGCTTGGTCTAGACCTACCCAGCTAGCTACAAAAACGAGTGGCGGCCCTGCGATGGCAGTACTGACGCCGAGCGCAAGGAACATCACCCTGAACTCTGTTCCAGGTACGGAAATTTGGCCACACTCTCGCGGCTGCGCAGCGTCACGGTCGAGGCCCGCTATAGCATCGCTTGATGAACTAATGGTTGTGGCCGCCGTGTATTTCCAGTAAAAGTCCCTGGCTTTGGCCTTCAGGACGGTCGTCAATTTCGTTCATCACAACTGAACAGGGTTCTACTTCCTATCCAAACAGTTTCAAATGCTCGCTCGTCAGTGAATTATCTCTCTCTCTCTCTCTACAACACCTTCCTCTTCACCAGACCCCGGGATTTCTCTGCATGTCCAGCCACGACTGTATCAATGTCGCCTCAGAGTCGTAGCTGAAACGGACGTGTGGCATTATGAAAACGGCAAAGCAAAAACAAGCTGCAGCAGCTGGAAACAGCAAGAAAAAGTGCGATCCGAAAACTCCACCGTACCGATCGACTCTCACACAACAAACACTGCGAAAACGGCACGTAGATGAGAAACGTGCTTTGTACAGGGGTCCTCGACTCACGTTCCGCGTGAATCCCACGTTCCCCGTTATCGGCCATTTTTCGTCACTCACCTTGGCAACAAGCATGTTTACGGCGTGTTTACGTGGTTTTCTACCTAGTCTGGACAGGCCCTAATAATAATTTTTTCGTAGATCTGCTCTGTTTCGGTCGCGTTTACGTTTGGGCGGATCGTGACCAACGCATATGGCCGATTGGTTTGCAGGCGCCTAGCGCCTGCGAACCATGACTGGCATGAGGTACTACTAATACCGTAAAGTACCGCCAGAGCGCCCCACCATCTGATCCTTTCGTGGTCGTAGCGTGGAGGTGGTCTGCTGTCTGTAGGTCATACGACATGAGCCTTGTACACATATTGCACGGTTTGCAGTCAATCCGTACCGGCCGTACCTTCGAGTGGACACAAGCTCCACACAAAAACCTGCCAAGTGTGACCTTAGTACACTAAGATCCTCACATCGCACACACTTCGTTGCACTCTGCCATACGATTTTCCTTACTCTGGCTGTAAAATCAAGGTGGGGCGCTCTCGCGAGACGGGGCGCACTGGCGGTACTTTACCGTTTACGGTCCTAGGCACTACTACTAGTACTAGTCTAGGTACTACATGTACTAGGTCCCGAGTTCGAGACCCGCGCGCGCTGGCAGCAGGGAGCGTGTAAAAAGACTTTTTACGCCAAACTAAAGAAGGTGTGTGGTTCGACTCACCCGACCGACCGTACAATTTCAGCCCGACCGTAACTTTTTTTCGGCGGGCTGTCGTGTGACTGACGTACGTGGACTGAACACGTCTACGTGCTGTGCGGCGTGAGTCTGCGGACGCAGGCGGCTCCTTTTGGACTTGACTTGTAGTTGTACTGCAGTGCAGTGCAGTGAGTGGTACGACTGCTGCCTTGTGCTGGTAGTAGAGTCTACTCGATACGCGTATACAGTGTATTTACATGTACTAAAAAATATATTTAAAAAAAAAATCCGCCCGCCCGCCCGTAAAAAAAATGTCCATGTTAGTCGAACCACACACCTTCTTTAGGCTGCAACCACACTAGGTACAAAATCACGTACAAACGGCATTACAGTAGAAATCGTCATGCCGACGCGTGCGAAATGCAAAATGCGCTTTGTAGGTTTTCAGCAACTGGCGCACCCCTGTAGAAAGCCACGTTTGTCGTTTTCGTCGTTTTCGCGCTCCTTCTCCTGTGTACAACTTTCCTTTTGTACCGGGTTATCGTACATAGCATCAGCATCAGCATTGTTTTTGAATTTCCCGGTCTTTTCCAGCGCATGGCACACGCTTCGGTACGACAACGTCACGTGCTGGTCGCGTGAAAACGTCATCTATGCAGACCGAAAAGTGTAGTGTGGTTGTGTACCGACTTGTACTGAGATATGCATGAAAATAATTTGTACTGTGATTTTTACGTAGTGTGGTTGCGGCCTAAGTTTGGCCTAAAAAGACTTTTTACGTGTGTTGAACTAGCTGTGCCGACACCAACGCGCGGTCAACTGGGTACTCACGATCACATGATCACAGCTCGGAGTGAGGATAACAAGGTTGCAGTTTACAGGGTTATGGGCCGTTACACGCCCGATTCAGGCGATTGGTTGAGAGACTCACATGATCACCTAGTACCTCCTCTCCCCTTATGAGGTCTGCATTCGCCACTAAGGTGTAAAGGCATAGTCCCCGCCTGCGGAAGCGAAGGCTTAGCTTTTTTTCTTTCTTTTTTTATTGCACTCAGAAAAAATAATAAGGCACCCATTTTTTACTTTTATCCAGGGGATGATGGCCCACGCCTGGTAAAAAGAATAAAAATAGAAAAGAATCATAACCAGTACATGAATAGACCTCTAGACAAAAATGTACATGTCTAGACTTTAGAAGGCTATAGCGTGTGTGTTTCTGAACATTCAAGTGATGTTGGGCGGCACTTCGACACCCCATCTTGGATGAATTCCTGCAGTGGTGGGTCAGCCTTTTTGCCAGAAGTCCAGCAGCTAGACTTCTCTGGAAGGCGAGGGCAGGCGTTGCGGTCAAATCGCAGGGTAATACACAACACGCTGGTGGAGTACCTATGAAGTTAGTTGGCGCTCAGCTGATGGAGTTCTTTGGTGATGTGCAGCCTTTCCTGACTGAGTGTCAGTATTCACCTAGCGCCTGTCAGCACCTCAAGAGTCAGCACCTCAAGAGAATCTTGAATGAGAGCAAGGACCTGCTGAAGATGGAACTGGCTGCCACTGACACTGTACTAGTCTAGATGCTGGGAAAGTCTTTGTGCAGAAGACGTACGTCCTAGAGGGTGATGGCATCTTGTCCACGCAGACGTACGCTCACCTGCAAGAAGTAGTTGCATCATCTGCTGCTGTTATATTCTACCCCAATGATGTTATGTAGCAAGTGTTGCCAAGGACATCGCTGGCCACGACGTAGACTACCAGCAGGAATTGCTGGCGCATGCCAAGCAGTGTTTTCGCCCTGCCATCGATTACTTCCTTCGGCGCTTTAATCACCGAGAGGGTGGCCAGGATTTTCTCCCCTCACTTTGTCAGCGAGACAAGGCCCACACTGGTGCAAATGGATGCCCTGCGCGTGTTTCCTGCCCTGAACACGGATGCTGCGATAGCCGAGCTGAAGGAAGAGCTTCCAGCGTACTTGGTGGCTGCCGAGGACGTACAAGCCCACATGGAGACACCAGAGTCACGGGTGGCTGCGCAAACTAGCACCTCCCAGCTTGGAAGAAGGCGGCAAAGCTGGTTCTAATCGGCCACTCCAGCCTACCTACCTCAGCTGCAGTCAAGCGTGTCTTCTCCCTGCTAGAAGCTGCCACTAGCAGCCAACAGTCCCATCTTTTGGAGGACAATTTGCAGCTTGCCATCATGCTGGTAGTGGTACAACCGTGGTAGAAATGTAGCTGTGTGAATGGTGCTGGTGAAATGTGCTTAGCAACGGAAAGAGTAAAGATAAATTTCTGTCTGCATGTACACGCATTGTCATGTACATGTATTCCTTACCTTCTATTTCACTTGTAGCTTGTGCGTGAGTATGCTGCAAAGAGTGCTGTCACTGGTGCTAAGTTGAACGGAAGCTTCCTCACTGCTGTTTTTTCTTCTATGCTTTGGCCTTGATCCAAGATGGCCTTTTTAAAGCGACTTTTCCAACTTTCAAACTGGCATTATCATGATTATGGAATAGTGTGAGCATTATAAGTGGCATTATATCCTCGATATCCTCATAATTATTATGAGCATTGCCTTTAGCATTATCGCAGAAAATAACTAGCATTACCCGCCCATGCCTAGAGGTGACGGAGTATCGCCGAGTCCTTCTCACTATCGTCATTGTCCGTTGGTCCATCCCTGTGGTAGCTATTGTACATCGCATGCAGTTGTGCCGCTGGCGACTTCTCTGCCGGGCGAGGAGTCACACACTGTTCCACATGCCGATACTGTATCAGCCGCTTGTTGCAGAGCGTTGTTGTGGAGACGCAGCCGTTCACTTTGTCTCGTGACAGTTGCTGGTGGTTTGATCGGTGTTGATTTTCTTCTCCCTTTGTTGACGGTGACGGTGATGTCCTTGACTGCTCGGCCTCTACCTGTCCTAACCGGTGTTGTTGTTCCTGTAACTGTCCGTACGAGTTTGTTGAGGATGTGCTGCTCTATGCGATCA